GGTGTGGTATTGAATCCACACCTGTGGCTTCCAGCCAAACAAAAGACAGGCATATGAGTTGAACATTTACCTGAGGTAGATACAGTCCTTGGAGAGAACAATCATGGGAGAAAGAAGGGCTGTGTATGCACCAGGAGACAGCTCAGAGAACAGGAGTACATAGAAGGATGGACACAGGGAAGAGGTAACTATCGGGAGGAAGTGGGAGGGGAGCTGTTGCATTGGGGTAAATTGTAGTCAGTGTTATGAGACAAAGTGTATGTGAGCTGTTGTGTGGAAAGTGAATTTGCTCTAAATTTTCACCCAAATCACAATAAAAAAAAAAAAAGTGTCATCTTCAAGTTGATAATTAAGGTTATAATTAGAAGCTCATTTTATTTTAACTGTAAGTCATGCTAGTCTAGTTCTAACCCAGTAGTTAATCATTTTATTAATGAGTTTTAAGGAGCTATGGCTTTGTGTGCCGGTGTTGTCTCTGGTTAATGGAGAGCAACAGTGGCCACAAAGCCCATGTGTCCATAGGCGGTGTTGTCACGATCCCATGGTGTTTCCATCCATGAAGCACTTTAGTCCATTTGTTGCATGCTCACATGTTAAAAGCAAACTCTCACTAAAGGGTACGTTTTAGAACACAGTAAGAGTCATGATTTGCAATCGGCTATAAAATAAACTCATGCCAGAGGTTTTAGTTCACTCCTCTGCTGATGAGAGAACCAGTAGGAGGTTCCAGCTGGTTGAACGGGAAAGCTCGTGTTCCCCACCTTTCTTATCAGACCAGGGCACACTAGGGCGGCTTCGCAGGCCAATTCAAATTGTCCACGTCCAGGGTGACAGTCAGTTGCCCTGCGCCCAGTCTGCATTTCTGTGGACAGGAGTTGTTTGCTTGGTCCACAGTTTATATCAGCTGACCCTATCACGGCAGAGCTGTGGTACCCTGAACGGGAGCGCCAGCGGGGACACCCGCTACATGTCAAAGTCAAGGACAGCGGTGCCCTGAATGGGAGCGCCAGCGGGGACACCCGCTACATGTCAAAGTCAAGGACAGTGGTACCCTGAATGGATGAGCTAGTGGGGACACCCAGTGCATGTCAAAGTTTTTTTCAAATTTTTTTCTCTATACTTCATATAACAATGACCAGTCATTCTGCATTTTTTGTTTTTGCCTCTTACCCTGTTAAATTTAACCAAGTTATTTCACTAAACCATTCCTCTTTTCTACTTACCTTCATGTCTCTCTGTTTCAAATGATCCTGTTTGCACCAATGTATCTACCCTTCTTGGCCCTTGATTTCGGGATATGCCTTCACTCCATCAGTAAGTAGGCTCTGCCCCTCTTCAGAGTGACCAGGTTTGATCAGCACTATTTCTTTTCAAATAAGACTTTACTATGTTTTCGGTGAGAGTTTCCACAGCAGTTTAGGTTCACAGTCAACAATTTCTAGACAGATTGTTCCTTGACATTGGTTACATTCTCTACCATGTGGACATCCTCGTTATTTCCATTCTGGTTGCTCCATTTAGTTTAATCTAGTGTCCCAGGCCCCTTACTGTCTAATTTTTGTTTTAAAGTAATTGTTGTTGTTGTTGTTGTTATGTGCCGTCTAGTCGACCTGACTCATAGCAACCCATCCTTGAGTTTCCAAGGCAGTATCACTACGGAAGTAGATTGCCCCATCTTCCTTCTGAGGAGTGGCTGGTGGGTTTGAACCACCACCTTCTGGTTAGCTGTCAAGTGCCTTAGGCACTATGCTACCAGGGCTCCCAAAGTAATTGTTACCTGTTCTCATTTCAATGATTTTTTAAAGGAGCAGAGTACTCACGGCTGATATTCTTTATCTTGGGGGACAACCTCTTATTTAGCTAAGAGGTGACCTCAGGGTTTAAAGAGTATGTCAAAGCAGTGGTCTTAGGGAGTCCTTCAGTCTGTTGAGTCAGTCTGGATTCTTAAAGGTTTAGGTTCAGGCCCCTGTTTTTCTCCTATCCCATTAGGAGTCATCTCTTGTAGCTCTCACCGTGAATGGTGCCATTTATTTTGGTAGATCCCAAAGTTCTTTGAGCTCTGCTCGGATACCGTGTGGGGGATGCGGAAAGCCTGTGCTGAGTGCTTCATGGCCGTGTCCTACACCACCTCGCCCGAGGTCCGCAGGGCCAAGCTCTCACCGCTCTTCATCAGGCTCGTCAGCGACCCCTGTCGATGGGTGAGTAACACTTGCCTCCGTGCCGTGTGCCTGTGAGTCCACAGCAAGCACGTGGGCCGTCCCGGGCTTTTCACTTGAGCACGGATTTGGTCCTCACTGTGAACAGTGGCCCATCACGTGTAGATCAGGGATCCCAAAATCGCCAGTGCTTCGGTGGGTGCTGCAGCCTCCCCACTCTCCGTGCCTGCGCTGGGATTGAGAAGGAAGGAGCCGTCCTTGCAGACGTGCTTGTCGTGGACAGTCGGAGCCGTTCCAGCACTTTGTCAGGTCTGCTGTGGCTAGACGGGAACGAGGATTCTGGAGGGTCACAGACACGTTCCCTCATTTCCTGCTGAGGTCGAGGAAACGACTGAGGAAGCAGGAAGAACTTGGGCACCACTGGGCTGGCGCTGGCAGATGGTGACCAGCCTCTTACTCAGAGCCGAGCTGCACTCACCTGCTCCCTCGCTTTCAGGTGCGCCAGGCCGCCTTCCAGTCCCTCGGGCCCTTCATTTCCACCTTTGCAAACCCCTCCCGGGCTGGCTTGTACGTCCAAGAAGATGGGACCCTGAGCATCCGCCCACCAGGCCGGGACCGAGACCCCAGCGCTCCCCCCATAGGCAGCTGTGCTGACCCTTCCTCAGTCTGGTAAGCTCCAGCCGGGTGTCCCCAGAGCCCCGCTTCTCCTGCCACATCCACCAGAAACCCTCACAGTGATCTTGTCTTAAGTTTTAGTGACAGTGACCTTCTGGGCAAGATGGGACATAGAGCTTTCATTATGTAAAAAGGCAAAAAGCAATTGCAGTAATGTTTTTGAAACCTGACTTATGAATAATGAAGTGACAGTGTCTCCTCCATTCAGAGGAGATACTCGCTGAGAACAGCGATCGGTAACCTATAGAGAAATGTCTCGTACTTTAGGATGATCACTGTTCTCGAGATGATTTACATGGGGAAAGACGGGCAGTCTCCCAGAGGTGCTTTTGTTACCTGGGATATTTTGGGCACGTAGCAGTGAAAGCCCTGACTCACTCCATGTGTCTAGTATGGCAACTGACGTTGGGGTTCCCACCCTGTCCCTCTGAGGAGAATGGCTTCATGCTGACAAGTCCATTTGAGGTACTTTATAAGCACCTCTCCATTGCTACTCTTAGGCCAGAGACAACCAGTGGATGATTGACAGCTCAGATGATACAAGTCATTTTTAAGATGGGTTCATCCTTGCCACCCACCCCCTTCCTCCATGAGAACATACTGAGTTCCTGCCATACTCCAGGTCCATATGAACATTTCCCTCTAAGACTTTCAAAGTGGCTGACGTGCAGCCCACCCTTAGGGAGGCCAGTCCCTTTTATTTTCTGGTATCTGCCCCCTGGCGGACATCCTGGTGAGCAGTAGCTGTTGCACCGGTGGTGGGGGGGGGGAGTGTCCACAGCAGACCCCTGCTGCCCTGGCATAACTGTGTAGTTGAGGGGTTGCCTGAGCCTCCACACATGGAGTGAAGGAGGCTCCTGGAGCATCTCTGCTCTTGCTCTCTGCTGGCAGTTGGGAGGAGGAGGCCTGGGGCTTGCAAGGATGTGGATGGCCTGCTTTGCCCATGTTACTCCCAGTCTGTGATGTGTTGCTCAAAGTTTGCCTCTCCAATTCAACCTAGTTCAGGAAAGCCTGTACAGATGGAGCCAGATGTACGGATGGAAGGCATGTCCACGGAAGCCAGTGACATCCTGTGTGCCAGGGCTCCCTTGAACGGCCTGATGGGAAACCCCATGGAAGGCTCTGCTATGGCTGGAGGCGAGCCAGCCAGACTATCCCCAGGGCCCAGGGCCTTCTTAAAACTCCCTGATACTGTGAATGAGCCCCCCATCAACAGTCCCCTGGAACCAAACTGTTCAGCCCACCCATGGAACTCTGAGGACACATTCAATAATTTCCTGTATTGGCGGACTCCTCTCCCTGACATAAGCAGGGACTTAGAGCTGCTTGTGGGCAAGGCTGGGCAGCAGAAAGACTCCTGCTGCCAACTCGAGACCACACATGACACCTGCGTGCCCAGCAGTGAGATTCAGAAAGTCCTTGACAGCCTGCAGGAGCACATGGTGGGTGACCCAGATGTCCAAGGTAAGTGTCGGCCTCGTGACTGAGGAGGGCGCGGGTTAGTGTGCTGTGTGTCGGCCTCGTGACCGAGGAGGAGACGGTGTGTCCGCTGTGTGTCAGCCTCGTGACCGAGGAGGAGACGGTTAGTGTGCTGTGTGTCGGCCTCGTGACCGAGGAGGAGACGGCGTGTCCGCCGTGTGTCGGCCTCGTGACCGAGGAGGAGATGGCGTGTCCGCCGTGTGTCGGCCTCGTGACCCAGGAGGAGACGGTTAGTGTGCTGTGTGTCGGCCTCGTGACCGAGGAGGAGACGGCGTGTCCGCCGTGTGTCGGCCTCGTG